CAAGAGAAATAAGAGGTAGCATTCTGGACTTACGGGCATTTTTTTAGCCAAACAGAGAATTATTTTTACGAAATGTCGTATGGGACAGCTGAGTCCAGATGAGGTTGGAACACATGCTCACAAAGCTGTCACTCTAAAGGCGTACTTCTCTGATGCTGGGACAAAAATACACGCCCTTAGTCTGTGACGTTTACAAAAGCAGACTCCAGCTATTGAAACTGATTGGACTGAAAATTCCAACTACAGCGTTCAGACGTGATTCCTTCGTTAACATTGTCCTGGAAGAACATAAGACCTTTGTATAAATAGTCCAAGGCTATTTTCCTCCTTATTCAACTCGAACCTATCGTGCTTCCTGGTACAGTTGCAAAATGAAACAATGGGTATAACGGAAACGATCTGTTAGGTTGAAATCTATCTGTAATTTATAACCCCAAGCCTCTCATTTGTACACGTTTTACTTTTCAAATGAAATCTCCCAATGTATGCCCTTCCGTTCCCAGTTGGCAGTCGAAGCAGATACAACCATTTTTGTACTGTGTTCCAGCAACCATGCTTCCCAAAGGACCTTAGAAGTGAGAAGTCCTTCTAAAAAGTTGGAATTACATATGGGCGTAGTACACCACTCATAAGGTTGTTGAAAACTCTTCGACAGCCCACAAGCGACTTCGCCGTTTTTGGGGCTCATCAGATAGGCACGGTTTCCTATAGAGGAAAATGTTGGTAGCTCAGGTAGCTGGTTTGTTCGCTGAGCTGGGCAGTTTGCTTGCAGACGTTTCATCCCCAATCGAGATGACATCATCAGTGCTTTGTTACGGACGGCATCGGTGGGTAGCGAGCTAAATCGGCTGCTGAACCAAGTCAAATNTCAATCAATCAACAGGTACCAGTTTATGTGGTGAGGCAGTGCGTTAGCAGTACAGATGAAATCAATGTTTGTTGTGACCATCGATTGCAGTTCATTCTTACCATAATGACGTCATGTGTTTAAAGAGGAACGTACTGACAGCGGAGGTTATCGGGTCATTAGATTCAAGTTGGATTCTTGCCCTCCTCTTAATCATTAGGAGGAATTCTGCCTTCCGAAAAGAGAGGATATATATATATATATATATATATATATAAACAGGAAAGGTAATGGAAAGGGTGAATAAAAAATGTACAGATAAATACTCTACAAAACTCACTTAATAGCCTTTATCTGTTCAATGGTTGGGTAGTGATGTTTGAGTAGCGTGATAAGCAAACCCTTCAAATGAACGTATTTGCATCCAGCTCCTTTCTTCTATCGGTTATACCGGGTTCGGTAGCAGAAACTTGGTGTTGAACATTGTGCCATCATGCACGGTGATGCCAGTTTCTTCGGTTAAAATATCTACTGGTGTTTTAGTTGCCACAGCAACTGCAAATAACTTCTCCTTTGTCAAAACTCTAAAACTTTTCTTCATAGGCAGGTTAGCCTGGGATACCATTCTTTTCTCTATAGTTTCATCTCCCTAACTCGCTGTTTTTAAAAAGTAACTTAACGTTTTTTCAAATACTGACATAACTGGATGAATTGTGGTTTCCGGGGCGAGCTTTGTATACAGCACTGGACGATTCATCAGCTTTTCAGCATAGATTGGCTTCACTTACAGGACGAAATCTCCACAAAGATTCACCGGGAACTTTCACGCATGTGATCCTGTACCCACTCTTTACTACTGAGATACAAATCAAAACTAATTGGGCCAGCACGATCCCTTACGACCTTGAAGAGTGGGTCAAGGTCCTAAAGACTCACTGGTGTTCGTCGTTGCAGTCAGTCATGGCTACAGCCTTCTCCCGTAAATTTATCTCTTCACTTAAATCACAGTTTTCAAACTTACCACGACTGGCTATCTAGTTTTGATTCTACAGCTTAAGTTCACGTACGGCATATGCGTTTTGACAATTCGAAATTCTTGGATACTCAGACTCTAGCGGACATTTCTTCATTCACTGGTAAAGACGCAGTGTCCATAAGGCTTCCTTCATCCGCATTCCCCTATTTAGACCACCTGATAAAAGAGAAGAACAGCGGCAGTCATCTTATGTTTTTCTGTTCTGACCGGGCTGCACCATTGCGAATCTGCTTTCGGTGTTCCCAAGAAGTTTTGAATACCTAGCTCAACTTTTGCGTGATTCCCCTTGAGTTTCTCGGAATGTATTCAATGAAGTCTTGAGTGAACCCTTTTCCAATTTTTATCCAGTATCGATTACAGCTTTTATGTATTAGCAGGTGACCTTAGCAAGGTCAGCCTTGAAAGTTTTTTCTTTTGGCCTGTACGGTATGTTTTTTAGGTAAGCAGTAATGGTGCCCATGTCAACCATTTATTTGTAAATGAAAACAAGTTGTCCAATCCAAGGTTTGCACTCCCTTTTCGGCCTCTACTGTCCGCTGTCTACTCAAGTTTTGATCACCACTGTTCGGCTATTTTCCGTTTAACATCATGTTCACAAGTGTTCGATGGCTCTGTTAGCCGAGTGGGCAAGTTAGCGGACTAACATTTCGATAACCTGGTTTCGTACTCCACATCATCGCCTTCAAATTGGCTGCTGGTTACCTGTCTGATAGAATATTACACAAGTTGCTTCAGAAATGCAGAAGTGAAAATAACTCACCAACATTTGGACTTGAATGTAATACGTATTGAAGGCTGCTCTGGCCGCCCCCATCTCCTTGCTTGAATTTATCACCCTGGTGAATAACTCTCCTTCACTTTGCGTCTAATTTCCCGTGTTTGAATCGTCTATCCAGTACTGCCCGATGGAGCGTTTATTCGTTCTCAACAGACTAATCAGGTCCTCAAATCCTGAACGACTATGAAGAAAAGAACACGCCCACATCTCGTCATGGTGGTATTTGTGCAGATGTGAAAGGGGCTAATCAGGCCAGGTGATCGAAATCATGGACAATGAATTCACAAAGAACAGTCAGAGTTTCAGTAGCTTCGCTTGAAAGAGAGAATTCACCAATTCCACCACTTACTCATTACTGAAAACTTGATTTCTTTCTGCTTTTCTTGTGTCTCCAACCGCTACTAGTATTACTTCGCAAATTGTAGTACCCCAACTGTTTCCCACGAATTTTGACATGTTTACTCGATTATTCGTCCGACTATTCTTCCCAACACCGACAGTATTTGAGCCTACTACTGAAGTGCTGTACCGGTGAACTATCTAAACAGTATTATCAGGAAGGTCAGATTCCTGAAAGCAACCTCAGAAAGCCCGAAACCTACTGCTCTACCAAAATCTCAACAGGAAAGTCGGCAAGCATCCAGGCCAGTCAATTATTCAGTCAATTCAGCAAAAGCCAATGAGTTCTCATGCACGCCACAGAAGCCAGGACCGAATGTGATCAGCGTTCAGGCATTTCATAGGGGCACGATTGATGTTGACGGGTGTTCACTAACGCCTATCAGACAGCCTGGATCAATGTCAGAAAGTCCTCTTTAAATAGCTTGTGACCGTTGTACTTTTCGCACTCGAACGCACTCACTCTCGCACTCGCTTGTTCGGAATATAGCTGTTGTGTTCCCTTCTGCGAGTCTTTTTTTCCCGACACTAAGCACTGCAGCGGGTCGGCAGCAGATACCACAGATTGGCGAATCAACAGATATAACAAGTATCCTCTTCATTCTCATCGTGAATTAAGCTTTTCCAATTCTTTATCCAACCCAGGTATGAACGGTAATTAGCGCCATGTAGCTCCCCTCTAAAACCGAAGTTAAACATCGTCCGATCACTTCCTGTTTAGCTCTTCTGAATCTCATTGAGAAGGATGTAATCTCTGACATCCCACCGAACTGTCTGTTTCTTTTAACCTCTAACAATACGCGTATAAAAAGTCGCACCAACCTGGACACTGCAGCTTATTCGGTGCATTTGAACAATTTACCTCTGGATGAGGATAACTTCACTACAATGGATAGAAAAGTCTTGTCGAATAAACTTTAATCTATCGGTTGTTGATCTTCACCCGTCAGCTGGTTGACGTCGCTGGATGTGGGCAAAATTAGACAGACGTTCACCATCGCTTTCCGCCGTCACAAAGATGTGGCTGATGGCACCATTCTACCACCCTTTTCGCCCAGCATACTGATGCTGTCAGTCCAATAAGTTTCTCGAATATGCCGGTGATTTTGCTTTCTATTCTCCTGTGTCACTGAAGTCAAACCTTTTACACTTTGGAAGCTCAATGGTGAACATCTGACCTTTTCCAAAGAATTTGGCCCCCCCTGGTTGACATTTTTGTTGCTCTTGCCTTTCTGTCCCTCTGAAAAGTCGATCCGAAAAGTGACCTCTTCACTAACTATTAGGGTTAATTTCGAATCATTGACCACCGCTGATTTTCGTTGGGCTGAACACAGTGAACATAAATTAGAAAACTCTAGTCCTATATCAGAAAAATGGGTCAAGCTAGATGTTTTCACAGTCCTATTTCCAGATCTGTTTATTTTATACATCCTATAGTTTTGTAGTGCCTGCCTGACATTACTCTGGCCTGCTCCAGGAGAAGGCATCTTTAGGCATGGCTTCGAGGTGATTTCAAACACAGCCTATTACAAATCAAGTGTGAATATCTCTCTTCCTGTTCTAAAATGCGTGAACATATAATCTTGCTGATAGTTCTGGCGCCGTTAATTTTGATCCCTTGTTGATAAAATATGAGTCAAACAAGGGACGCTTTCAGAAATGTGTATGTGCGCCTACTTCGCCATACAAAAAATCCGCTATCACATATTGAGCTTTCTATCTACCAACTGACAAGATTATTCCAACGGGATTTCAGGAGTAGTTTAATCTGTGGAAGTTCTTGTGAGCACTGGTTACCGCTCGATTGCAACTTTTGTATACAATTGTCTACTTTCTGACGAGTATTCACTGGTTTTCCATCATATTAACTGGACTTCGTGAGAATGCCTCTAAATCAATCTTTATGTGTGCTGGATTCAGTTGAGTTTCCCGCTCAGTTGTTAGAGCGCGAATTTAATGACCGGAAGGTCCGTCGTTCGAATCCGACATCTGCCTCTCGACTTCCCCTGTCTAGGCTTGGGCAACCTGGTAGTATCCCAGCCCTCGCGCTTCCTTCGGATGGCATGGCAGCTAGGCACCGAAAGGATGCTAGAGCTGAAAGATTTTTTGTTCAAAACAAAATTTGTGTCCAAATGAGACTAGTTGACGAATCTGGGTTCAAGTAGAACATAGGTTTAACGGAAACTCGGTGAATGCGTCTGTTTGGTAGCTGTCTGTTGTCCTAACGGATACTGAATTATTCTCTGGCTACCGTAGGCGAATGCTGGGACATTTCCATTGGGAATACAGTTGGCATGTGTTTCCTAAGGGTGAGTTATGGTAGAGGAAAATTTCGTGCATCCTAACTTGTGCCACCGATTGAGGGCAGGGCATGTCCTTTCCTATTAATATATCCGTGTAGAACGCCATCTCCAGTTCGTTTTGTGAACACTGTTCAGTCGTCCGAATCATTGTGCTCTGAAACTGAATCAGAGTGAGTATGCATACTATCACTCGTGAGCCAAGTGGGTGTGTGGACGTTCTTATCCGATTATGCGCAGTCGCTGATACATTGGAGTACTTTATTCGACAAATCTTAGGCCGAAAATTTGCTAAAAACTTCACCTACATGTCGATATGCAAGCAATTTTCTACCATCTCATGAGCTTGGGACAGGGGCAGCCAAGAAACGCCAAGCTTTTTTATTTGGCCTCGAAGAGTTGCCTGCAACGAAAGTGTGAGCAGGGGGAGCCATAGTCATCCGACTAGTTATAAGCCTGGCAAAAGCAAAGTTTCCGGGATCGATATCATTCCATTTTGGGGTTGCACATCTAGCCATCCCACGTTCAGGTTCAGGTTCATGTCGCTAAACCGATTCCCACAGTCAAGAGCGTGCTTCCATTAAGTCTTCAGATATTTTTCCCACTGGAGCCACACTAACTACCAAAACCGTCTCTACACTTACCATCGGATTCCGTCGTTGGAAGCAACCGTGCAGAAAAAACAGGTCGCAAGTCGAACGGAACAGTTACTTATCGAAAAAATTTCCCCCTTAAGTGACGTTGTTTTGGAAACCTGATGTTTTATAGGCTCACACAAGTCGTTTGAAACTGACATACGGCAAACGTAGTACGAGCTAGCGTATGGCTGCAACACGGGCCTAAACCAGACCAAAAATCTGTGCACCGTAAATGTTTGCAGACAAGGACTCTAGAACAATTGCTAGCGCACGGATGACCGATGACTTGTGTTTGATTTACACATGTTAAACTTCTCGAGACAGGAGTTCGTAGGAGGTAGTGCTCGTCGCATGCCACAATAGTGGAACGTTGATATTTGCATATTTGAGTCGGCAGGCTAGTGAAGTGGATAAATTGAGGGATGCTACAAAATCTTGACTACCGTGTTGCAGGTCTGGACAAACAAACTGTTTCTCAATAGAGCTACCTTCCTGTAGTTGAAGTGCCTAGATACCGTTTCATTCTAGTTGGGGATCGTCAGCAGCGCATGCCTCACATGCCTCCATAGAGAGTTGGACCGGAAACATTTAGGACAAAAGCGTTTGGTTGGCATTCGCAACCAAAATAATGTATTCTGGTAAATAAATCTGAAGTGTTTTCTACCCCCTTGTCTCATACCTCTAGAAATCCTATACTCAGAGTTGTTGCGCGTCGCCTAGTCAATGGTTCCTAATCGAATTTGGGAAGTTTACGTGTCTGGGGTGTGTAACACTCGAATATGCGAGGACACTGCTTTGGAATGAAGTAAAAAAGACTGTACGTAGCTAAAAAGGGCGGTGCTCGAGGAGCCAGTCAACACATGTGACCGTGTGATGTGGATCACGTGACTGAAGAAGGAATGGCGCCATATCCTCTCTAGATGCGGGTTAATCACGATGCTGAGCAGCCGCTGGGAGCCGAACGGTTTAGTGTACTTGCCGGGAGACTGAGAATTCTAATCCCTCTGGTGACCCGTGAGGTGCTCATGACTCCCAATAGGGATGAAACAGCTGTACAATGCTTTTCTTTTTCTTCATCGTCTAGAAAACATAAGATGAAAACTCTATTGTAAGTTTCAAAATCTTTCCATACTGTCAACAGACAGTTCTTCTCGGGAGTTAAGTGAGAAGTTCAGACGCTTGGAGTTCACGGTCATTGAGTGCGCATGGTACTTATCGATTTGGTGGTCATGTTTATGGAGTCTTGGTAATTCGTGATGATAAAGTTGGCGAAGGGACTATATCTCAACTGTGGAAGCTCCTGCAGAAAATTTGTTTGAATGCACTGGTAGGCTGGACTTTCGAAATTTTCACGGCTCGAATCACCTGATTTCGGTTGTATTTCTGGTGTAGCTTGCAAACACCGGTTGGGATGGCATTACAATGTGTCTTCGAGGATGACGGTATGTTTCTGAGTAGATAGCATCAGGCTGATGCTGTAGAACACGAGAAAACGGGAGTCTAATCTACGGGATGGAGGATTGCCATTTTCCACACAAAATCTCTCGTCTATATGAGTAATCAGCTGCGTAGTTGACGGCAACTGCAAGCTAGTGGGATCTTAGATCTTGTGGGAAGTATGGACTAACAATCACCACGTAGTGGTGATCCAAGCTATGATTGAATCAATTTAAACGCAGTGGTAACTCAAAACGGTACTTTAAACAAATCGCCATAAGAGCTAAAAGCAACGGAAGCTTCGCAATTGGGAACAGTTCCCCAGTGTCCGGAAGAGTAGTGCTGGAACTTCTCAATGGATATTCGGAAATGAACAAGCAGCGATTTATTTCAACCCGTCATTTTCACTTATTTCTCGGTAATTATTTTGTGCGATTAAACGCTTATGGCAGAAAATGTTTCTACCATGACCGTGGAATATGGCCAAGAACGGATGCGACCCTCATGTATGAGGGATACAACTGATTATCATATAAGTTATAAAGCGACGTGAAGCAATAACTTTTCACGCCAAAGTTGGCCCACAAAAATGGACTGTGTTTAGCCTCTATATATAACGTATACCTGTATATAACCTACACCACTACTTATCCCTCCGGAAATAGTCAATTCAAAAGAGGATGGGCTCTTCATTTCAACGGAAAGTAAATCAAGTGGGAGTATATGTCGGTCGCTCCTGACCTAAGTGAAATGGGGTTGAACGAAGACAGTTAAATAAAGAAAAAATGTTTCTTTGATTCCAAGGCTCCTTAAGAATTTTTAGCTTTCAGGTCACATGTCCATTCCCCGACAAAGACTTTGGAAATAGGCTGGAGATCTCTATCAAGACCACATGCAGATGAAATTGCATGAGAAGATGGCACATAATGTTATCTTAGGCAGAACAGAAAACAGCCCGTTACCAGCGCTTGTCGGCTCTGGGGCGAATCGAACATACTCACCCATCTCCGCTTAGGCGTAATCTGTAATTTGTGAGTTGTTTTAGCCAGATCCATTGCCCCCTGTTATCATCACTGGAGAACACCCTGAAACAGGCCAAACCGTGATAGCGACAGCCACTTTTTCGAAGAGAAGTTACCTCTTTCATTATTCAAAAAGGACGTTCTTCCCTTCAACTACGACCCGATATTGGAGGATTCTTGTTCAGCTTAAACGCACTGTTAGTTACGATTTTAGGCCGAAACGTTTGTTTGAGAATTCAAAAACACCCTCATGTTTCGGCACTTCAATCCTTCAGACTCAGAGAGACGGATCTGGTACAGACAAACACAAACGCTTGACCTCGCAGTGGTTCACATGCCCCATATGCAACTGTGCACACAGTGTACGCTTGCGTACATCAACACAATCTCGTCAAAAAGCAAAGGGTGACCTGAAATTGTCAAGACGGTTATGAATTTCGATCAACCAACCGACCGAGCGCCTGACCGACTGACAGGCTGTTGTTTGGCGAGAATGACTCATTCATTTTGGGGTTAGAAGGCCACAAGTCCAGCAAAACTCTGTTATTTCGTTCAGGTCAACCTTAAAATCACGCAGTTGTTGTTCCAACGAACTTTGTCGTACCAAACCGTGAGAAACGCACAACACTCGTTACACTATTCACACCTTGGTTCTTTTTCCGATGACAACTCAACGTCAGAGAATCAGAGATATTGTGAGTTCGTACACACTTTTGGTTTTTGTCAATACTGCTGACAACCTAGTATAGTCACTACTATTAACAGGTCAAACAAACATGACTACAATCGCGTGTGATAAAATTGCAGCTGAAGTTTACAATGTGATGGGACTAACCGAATGGTTTGGCATCAGAATACCTTTTTTTGCACAAATGAGGCGATGGACCTGGCAGAATTGCCAGAAAATATTGAACTCTTAAAGTTGAGAGTGCCATCTTAATCATTTGCTAATCGTGCCTGTTTTGGACTTTGGAAAGAATGTAAATGCCCGATCCTATTCAGAAGAGATATGCCCGCAATTAAAAAGTATTTCAGCGAAGTACACTACTCATTTGGTTTTGTGAGAGACTCACCTGGCCACCGAATGTGCTGCACCAGGCTGCCTCATGTTTCAGTCGTTACGATATTCGAGAAATCGCGATACATGTGTATTCGTAATGCACTACTCATAAGGTTGCTGAAAATTCGTCGATAGTCCACGACCTGTTTCGCCCCTCTTATCAGTTGTGCATTACGAATAGGACTTATTTCATTGGGTGACAGAAGGCAAAATCAGTCCAGCGTTTGGTATCGTGATCACCAAAAGGAGGCAAAATTAAACGTACCAGGAAGGGTAAGATACCGCAGCTGAGGGGGAGCAGACTCACAGAAGGGCTGTGAATCCGACCCTCTTTTTATGAGACTACGCAGAATAAGGAAGCCTGTTTGCGCTACACTGAAAAGCCCTTTCTAAACTTTAGGCGCATTTTTCAGGAAACGGTAGTCTTCTTAAAACACAACACCGTTACAAGAACCATCGACTTCTGCTCGCTTGGCCTAGATGTCATCAGTTTTCAGCAAGCATTAGCTAATTTAAAAGTCAAAAAGTTCCGAATTGAAACACTGTCAAATTCGGTTGGATTAATTCAGGCATGTTATTGGCGAAATAACATCAAGGTGATTTCCGGTTCTAATTTCCCATGCTCACTTCCCGTCCCTCTCTGATCTCCTCATTCTTCTTGTTGAGTAATCCCTGCTGTACATCTTTGTGACTTTGTCTCCAAGTTCATGAAACTTTTTTATTCGGAACGTGTCCGCTAAAAAGCCACCCTTTTCAAAGCTTATGGAATAATGTTCAGTTGAGAGTAGAATACCCTTCTGCGGTATAAATTGGAAACTAACAAACTGCATCGCAGTAGATCAGGAAACCTTCATAGTAGTATATGAAGTGGTCGTTTGCGAGACATATCCTTCTACTTCGGAGACAACCTTCTCTTCGCTTTTTCACAATTGACTACTCTGTAACCTCACCAACGAGTATAAGGTCAGTTGAATGGTCCACTGTTTCTAGCTTTGTCAGGCTTTTATTTTCCCCGAAGGCCCCCGGGTCCATTAGAGTATTGAAGTTTTGCACATTGAATTACATTCGGCAAAGAGAGGGGGGCTACTGCCTGTAGTTGCTAATTACATACTGCATAGTAAGCCCAGGCTTCTACCATGGGGCTTCTGGACATTAGGGTAGAAAGACTGTCGCGTCCACTGCTCTGTTTTTGGGCTTCCCTGAACTGAAACTAACGGAAGCTCGGTCTGCGAAGCCTCGGCATGTGTAATTTTACTTGGATCGCTGAATCCTAATGACGATGAGTCTGCTCTGTGACCTGTTTCTTGATAGATTTTCAGAACAGTCGGATTAGAGACTTGTAAGGTGTTCTAATCGGCACTACGTCACACAAGCACAACTAGGCGAACCGGTCAACAGTGATGTGAGCAAGAAAGTCACTTAGACGCTGCTACACGGATCTGAAGATATTTATGATTGATTCGTTCATGGAAAGACTTTTGCGACTCAGTCTCATCAGATAAACTGCACCCAAAGCGTGTCTGTCATGTCGTTCAGTTGATCGTCCCAATCCAGATAATTGTGCGCTTTCTAACCGTTCCACCCAACGGCATTCTCCCATTTAAGGTTTTTTTTACACAGCTACGTACCAGAATGACAGTTTAAATGGAGGTGTAGCCGCCAGCCGCTACTTGCCGTAGGTAATTTATCGATGGCTATGTAGGTTTCTATGATTGAGTACACATGCAAGCAAACCAGAAATCAAAGAACCTCAGTTGAACAATAGATGAGCACTCATACCAAACGGACTCATTCCATCGGCTAAGTTGGCCAAGGTAAGCAGGGGTACTGCAACTCCTAGGAGTAATCGTTACTATCTTCAGGCTCGGCAAGGCAGGTGGACACAACTTCGCTTTAGGCAATATTTTGTAACGTAAAGACTTCAAATGAAAGAATACATCCTTGTGAAGAACAGTTTCGAGTCGGTCTGGGAATGGCGAAGTAGTTATCTGGAGTAGCATCACAGGCTTTACTGAGAATTATTTTCGTAAAGCACAGTATAGCGTGTTCCGTGTCAATAGAAGGCAGCATCGTGTACTGTGTACCGACCACCACCCAGAACATGCTTCTACATACGTCCGGTTTGATCTGCTCAAAGGTGATGAACGATAGTGCAAACTCGAGCACATCACTTGTGCCATTCATTGGCCGAACAAAAGTTTGTTGAATAGGCAGCTAGACAGGCAATCCTTAAAAACTGAAATGCCACACGAGTGAGAGCGAATGGATCCGATAATGTTCGGCCCAAAAGTGTATTTGTTTCAAGGAGCCTGATATATTTCTTCCCCAGGAGAAATATATCTTTTGGCGTCAAGTCTGCAGAAAATTTGCGAAGCCAAAATCATCCCTCGATAAGAAGTGAACGGACTAACGCTGGTCGTAGAGCTCACTTGCAACTTGTACTCCGGTTGCAATGTAAAGACCGATTGCCGTTTATTGCGACTCGCTAAACAGGCAAACGAGACGTCGGTTTAAATAGGCACGGAATTCCCACCCACGTGGCAGTCGCATGCGCCACCTACGCTTGTTGTGTCCCGTATTCCGAATGCGTTTCGTGTTTGTACCCGGATCCTAGTGCTCACTGGAACATCGGATTGTGTTGTATGTGTATTCGTCTTACTGTTCCCCAGTTAGAATCTAAAGTACATGGCTCACTTAGCGCAACTGATTGATATGAAACCTGAATTACATGTTCAAAAATATACATATATGTATATACATATATATACAAGGTCATAAGAACCCAGGTACCCAACTTCAGGTAGTATAAATTAATAAACATCATGCGTCCTGGGGACAGCTTTGGAGTTCTAGCGTGCACATTAAGGGCATGGGAAAATCATGCACTGTATTCACACCAAAGTTTTCCACTTGCAACCCAAATATTCTCGGGATTAATTAAGATACGGTTGCAGGAAAGATTACTCTTGAAAGAGTATAGTATCCTTTGCAGCTTATACCGGTCTTAACATGGGACTCAAATGGAGCCATCGTTTAGCGAAATACACTCATTTGCAAGCTAATTTGTTTTTGCGAGATACTCACCTGACGGTCTTAACATGGGACTCAAATGGAGCCACTGGTTCGTTCGCTGAGCTGAGCAATTTGACTACAAAAGTTCCATCACTAATTGAGGTGCTATCATCAGTGCATTTTGGGGGAACGCCTGAATGTGCTGCACCAGGCCGCCTCATGTTTCAGTCGCTACGACATTCGAGATATAGTGGTACATGTATACTCATAAGGTTGCTGAAAATTCGTCGACAGCCCACGACCGATTTCGCCCTTCTTGGGGCTCATCAGGTAGGCGCAGTTCCCCAGTTTGCGTCAAACTTATGTTCTGCTTGAAACCAAATTACACGAGATTAGCGAAATACACTCGCTTGCAAACTAATTTGGTTTTTCGAGAGACTCACCTGGAACCCAGCTGAATCTCCCGTTTGTGATGTTTCCCTCGTTTCTTCAAGTCTGGATGCATTGCACAAGGGCCATCTTACGTTTCGGTTGACACGACATTTGAGATATCGCACTACATTTTCTTGACAGGTCATACCATTCATACGCTTGTCAGAGTATTCAGCAGCCTTATGAGTAGTGTGTGCTGTCTAGAAAGCATTCTATCATGCTTGATAACCGGTGTCCCAACANTATATATATATATATATATATATATATATATATATACCAACTCAACCCAAAAACATGAACTTATTCAGTATATCCAAAGTGAAACTGTGGAAAACAGCTGTCTTGAAGGACAAAGGAAAGAGAACTTAGATTTCCTTTTTTGTACCGCGAACAAAAAGAAACACCAGCAATCCAGTTGGGAGAAGGAAAAAACAATGTGGACATATTCGCCTGCATCAGTTGTAGCTGACAAAAGG